CCCCCCCCCCCCGAGAAAGTGGGACTTTCCTTACCTACCTTTAAACTGTCAGAATTACTCGTATTAATCTGCATTGGATATAATTCTGGATCCCCAAACTTGGCAACTTTGCTGGCTGGAGACTTCTGGGAGTTGAAGTCCCCAAGTCTTAAAGTTGCCAAGTTTGGAGACCCCTGTGAATCTGGATCGAATTTTAACATTTTCTTTAAGAGCAAGGAGAAGTTTAGGGGTCTTCCTCACCAAGTAAAGCTTGAAAGGTTGAGGTTTTGGGCTCAAGGAATTCGTTGATGAGCTTCGGTGGGGTTTAGGCCTAGGGTTTGTGGGGGCAGGAGAGTTGGGGGGGGGCAGTTTAATCAGAAACAAACCAGAGAAAGAGAAACCTGAAAGACAGAACTCTAGACATGGCCTGGAGCACAGGAAAAGTCTCCTAAACTCCCCTCCAATACAGACTTGCAACCCTTCAATTAGCAAGCATTCAGAATTGCACCAGCACTGGAAAATGTGACTTACCACACACTTACGACTGAGACAGGCGCTTGTGAAACGTATTTACGACAGGTCCAAGTGGCCATCATTTATGACCTTCCCAGCTGGATTCTACAAGCCAGATCAAGAGGGGAAGGCCGGATTTCTTTAACAACCTCGGGATTCATTTAACAACGGATGCAATTCGCTTAACAACATTGGCAAAAGATAATCCCGTTTGGGCACTGAATGACCACTTTGGCTGGCAATTCTCGTTCCCTGCTCCATAATTCTTCTCCCAGGACCTGGGACTGATCATAAATATATTAATTTTAAAAAGCCCATCGTGTATCATAAAATCATACCAAGCAACGTGAAGTTTCTCTGTCTAGGCCCAAAGCAAGACATTATTTGAGCCTGAACCCTCGATCTGTAAAGTTTTACTCCTGAAGAAGCTCCCTAAAGTTCTCCCTTACCTGGGCCAGCAGTTTTAAAACAAAGTTGTTGTTTTTCTTTTGCTCTTTCATTCATATTTTTGTCTGCTAAAAAAAAATCTGTCCAGACAGCAATTCCCTCTCTCCAAATTGGCTTTGTCTCTCTCTCTCTCATATTTTGTTCTCCGTCTCTTCTACCACCAGAGCAAAAACCGTTTTATGCATGTATTCCATTTCTACATCTCCGCCAAGCGGTATCCAATCATCCTTGTGTCTAACTAGCAACATTTAAAAAAAATAAAAATAAAGTTCAGCTTCGGGTTAAATTTTGGGGGCGCTGATCCTGAAAGAGATTGTTTGTTCCTCAGGACTTTTTTTTTTTAAAAAAAATATTTTTTTGCTGACGCTTTGCTTCTCTATCCTGTTATTGATTGATTTGTTGTGGGATTTGCAGTATTCCTGCGAAGGTATTTTATCCTAACCTCTCCCTCTTTTTCTTCTTTCTCCAAAATTGGGTTTTTGTTTTTTTTCTTCTTCTTACTTTACTGGAGGAGGAAGGATGCCATGGGATTTTTCTGTTGTGAAAACAAAACAATCAGCAGATTTTTTTTAAAATAAAAAGAGTGTGCTAGTTTCACACAGCGATGCTTTTAAAAGAGTTTCCCTCCTTTCTTCCTAGCTTTTAACCTGTTTCCTCCTCTTCCTCCCTTCTCTTACAGACCATCCTCAATTCCATGCACAAGTACCAGCCGAGGTTCCACATAGTCCGAGCGAATGACATCCTCAAGTTACCGTACAGCACTTTCCGAACATATGTCTTCCCCGAAACTGACTTCATCGCGGTGACGGCTTACCAAAATGACAAGGTAAAGACTTAAGGATTAAGGGTTGGATGAGGGACTCCCTTCCTTAATTTCCTGGTTAATTCCTCCCTCCCACTTTCAAGTTTGACTTCCAAAGGTGTAAATTGGAAAACCGAACCAGCTGAAATAGTAAAAGATTTCCTATGAGTAATTCAAGGTAGACCGCCATGATCCTCGGAGGTTCCATCTAGCTTTAAACTTCCTGGGTTTCTTTCTTTCTTTCTTTCTTTCTTTCTTTCTTTCTTTCTTTCTTTCTTTCTTTCTTTCTTTCTTTCTTTCTTTCTTTCTTTCTTTCTTTCGCTTTCTTTCTTTCTTTCTTTCTTTCTTTCTTTCTTTCTTTCTTTCTTTCTTTCTTTCGCTTTCTTTCCTTCCTTCCTTCCTTCCTTCCTTCCTTCCTTCCTTC